AAGAAATAATTCAAATATGGGGGCTCATGGGTCMTTCATAAAGAAAGTTGATGGCAGAATACATGTTATAACGCTAGGAAACAATCCTAATGCATCTTACATTAATACCTACTGTATGTTTTATTGCTTCCTTTAGATTAGCCTAAGGTGGTGGATGAGAAYGAGGAGCTGTGCTCAATATAAAAGCCATTCTGTGATGCCCAAACCCAGCAGTCACATGGAGTAACACAACTGGTCCATTCCAGCTTTATTTGTAATGCACTTTAAAAATAACACAGTTGAYCAAAGTGCTGTACACAATAACCAGAAATAAAAACAAACAATACACAACTAATAACAGTAACTATAAAAACAGCACTTAAAGCTGAGTTGTAAGTTTTAAGAGAAGACTTAAAAACATGAAGAGACTCAGTTTGTCAGAGTGATGTGGACTCCCTTTTGTACTCAGGTATCCCACTCAGTTTCACACATTTGTATCATACCTACAGCCATTTGCTCCTATTTCAGTACCTCTGCCTGTTGTGGACCAAATTCTGATGACTTTGATCAAACTACAACAGAACTTAGTCCTGACTGATTTAAGGTCCTGTCACACTATACCATCTTAGACAAGTTCTGATTTTTTTTAATATAAGCTACTAATAAGTTATATATTTAAATTTGTTTGTTAGCTTTACAGTATGTACACTTCTAAAACAGGCTTCCAGTTGATTTTTTTAGTTCCATTATCAGTGTAGATGTCTTCAAGATTTCAAAAGTTGGCACAAGTTGTGTAAAATGTTAGTGTGACAGGGCCTTTAGAACAGTGGTTTAAAACATCTCAAGGTCAGGTTAGCAAAACTGTTGAAATGTGAACAGACATAATGTCAGAACACATCAAGTATCATATTTTGTGGTTTCCTCGTGAAACAAGATTAAGATTTGTGCAGACATAGTGAATTTGTTTTTGTTTTCTTCCTCTTATCCAGGGTCAGGTCTCGGGGGCAGCAGCCTCAGCAGAGACCCAGACCTCCCTCTCTCCAGACACTTGGACCAGCTCCTCTGGGGGAATCCCAAGGTGTTCCCAGGCCAGCTGAGAAACATAGTCCCTCCAGCGTGTCCTGGGTCTTCCTCTGGCTCCATTCTTCCCTCATTCATGAACAAGACCCTGAGATACTCTAACTCCTCCACTTGGGGCAGGACCTCCTCCCTGACCTGGAG